TTACATCATTTAAGACAAAGGAATGGTTAATCGACTGTGATTAATAAAAAATTATGTTTAGGACAAGGCTGGATCATCCTCAAAGAAATCAGAGAGAGAAAACCTTTGTCACTTCATCTCTGTCGTTTCTGACTTAATGACTGTGTCTCTTTACTCTTTAAGGTTTGGCATAACTGTTACCCGCCCATCATCTCTGAAGCAACTGCTTCATTATTAAATGGACTACATGTGAGGTGACAAAGAGGCTGTATTGTTTGTGATGAATAAAGATGAGTCATGTATTCTCAGTGACTTTTAAAAGGGCACTTCACCATCTCACCCTCCTATTTTCAGACCTAGCCTTATGTTTTCAGATGATCTAATGGTGACCATCAAGCTTTCTGACCCAGCCATTACTGTAGACCGTTGGATCGATTAGAATGTTGTTGCAACTTGTTAAGTTTGAATGCACCTTAAATAATGCTTTAAGTTAAAATGGCCTTTCTGCTGTATTTTATCAGCAGAAGAACAAACAAGTGTAGGCTTGCAGAATTAATAAAAAAAAGGAATATGATTCATAGAATCCAAGACAAATTCACATTCATTTATTTCACAATCACAATTTATTTCCAGAGGAAAGGAAGCAGCAGAAATGAATAAAAAAAGGTGAAGAAAATCAGAGTGTGGATGTTCTTCTGATTTGATCTGAAATTAGCAACTCTAAATTCAACTGTGACCTCTTACTGATGGTACATCATATTCTGTTACTTAAAGTGAACATGCCTTGACATGATCTGTCTGGGCTACAAACACACACATATATATATACATTACATAGCTCCAAATATTTTTTTAATCAGAAAAAATTAAGAAAAGCTGAGATAAAATAATTATTTTAGCTTCCTGAAGTTGAACGTGCAGCATTTTTTAACGAACACCATAAAAGTGCTTCAGATAAGAATTGTTTTAATAATTGGTCTGTTCATTTTGATAAAATGTTGCTAAAATAAAGTTTCATATGCTAGCAGAGAATGATTTTTTTCTCACATTAACACCAGATCAGCTACAGCAACCTTGTATATTATATGAAGAAATATGAAAATCTACAATATGGTGCTTTATTTAATAACTCTGCATATTTCTGGTTTCTAATTTCAGCTTGATCAAACATTACAAGAAGGAAATGCATGTAGTGAATTTGAGAAACCTTGAGAACCTTTGAGAAAAATATGTACCAAACTCTGCAGCAGCTAATATGTGAAGCCATGAGTAAAATGGAACATAAGACAACATCCAAAAATTGTCAGACACAATTTTCAGTTTGTGTTTAGTGTTAAACCTCTCAAAGGAAACTAATCCTCCTGATCAAACGGAAGCTAAATTACAAATTCCTGCTATCCATTTGAAGTAACAGAAGTTGTGTCCCCCAAACCATCTTTTCATGAGTATATGCAACGTTGATGATCCACAAACAGGCCATTGAAACGCATTGCAGTTGAAGGTGGCTGCGTTACAGAATTTAAGCAAAACGAGAAACAAATTAAGATTACAGCAGCAACTTTATGGTAAAACCACATGAAACTACAGAAGATTAGGTATTTACAAATAAAATAAAAAGGCCCAGTACTCATGCCTCATAGTTGTCTACCAATGAAGCAGGTTTGATAGGATGTAAAAATAGGTGCAGTCCAGAACCATCAAGAGTAACAGAGCAGAGCCTTTTTCCTTTGTGCAATGCAGCTTGATAATTTGTTGGTGTTCCTGCAAAATTAAGTGAGAGTACATACTGGATGAGAATTGATCCAAGTTGCTGCAGGGAGTTTTCAAACCAGTTGTGGTTTAGTTATAGCAGAGCTAGCAAGACTGATTGGCTTGACTGCTCATTTGAGCCAGGACATTGATTTGGGAATGGAGAATACAACTCAGGGGGAGCGGAGTGACACTGCTCTGGTTCCTTGGCATGGGTCTACTTTGGCCTGGGCACACACATTTCACTCTGACACACACAAACACACAGGCACACTTCAACAAGAAAAACCCTGGCAGCCACAGGTGTCAAGAGATGAACTTACACACACACAACAGGCAACATCGATTTCATGTTTGGCATTGCTGAGCAGTGTGTGAGCAGAGAGAATCAGGCTAGTCTCTGGTCCCAATGCAGATGAACGGACATTCGGTTTCCCCGTTTCCGTCCTCCTCTGTCACATTTGAACATTTCAGGCAAATGTTCCTGGGGAAATCTTCCAAAAAAATCAACTTATCATGATGATGACCACTTTCATTATTTTATCACTTGTCTTCTGTGTTTCCTCATGCTCCATATTGTCATCTTTCGCTGTGCATCGCTCAATCTCTGTTTTTGTTTTTCATTACAAGAAATGAGTTTTTCCTGGCTTCAGTGAGTGGCGTTGACTGCTTGGCTGGCTTGGGACAATGTTGAGCCATCCAACAGGTAAACATGCTTTATCAGCCATGTGGAGCCTAGTTTACACACAAACACACCCACCCACACACACACAGAGGCCTTTACCCATTTCCAGGTTAATCAAGAGAGAATCTTTTTGTCAGCTGCAGCAGACAGATGGATCGGTGTGTACTTGGAAAGCTTGTTTTCTTAGAACTAAGAAAACAAGACAAATACACTTTTATGCTTTTGTATAGATTCTCAACGCGTGCATTTATGTTAGTGTAGCAGTAGATGTGTGGATCAATGTGAGCTTTTCCTCTGAGTTTCATGTCTCTTTGAGTTTTGTCAGTTTCCTGTCTGTGTGTCCATATAGCTTGCATGGCTGGATGTGTGAGTGTGCGTGTCTGTCTCATTTTGTCTATGCTGGGTGCATTATTTGAAGCAGTAGACCGGACACCGCCAGAGGCGTACACCAAGTGGTCACGCGGCGTGACAGAGAAGAGAGCAGAGTAGCTGTCAGAAGGTCTTTTTAACACACTGCTGCTCACCGTTTGGGGACATTTCGGGAGCGTTTGACTGCAAAAGGACTTACGTGACAGAGATAAACACAATTCTCCAAAACTCCCACAGAGATATCCCAAAAGCCCAGAAGGCTCCCTACCTGAAAATACAGCACTAATACCTTTGATCTTTCCAAAGAGACGTGCAGAAAGTTAGAGGAGGAGTGACAAGGGAAGAAAAAAAACACCAGGCAGCAGCCTCACATTTTTAATGAATGTTAGCTGTTTTCAAAGGTAGTCACCTAAGGTAAAATGTCCTCTCAAGGAAGACTATGCATTGTAAAAGTGCTCCTGTGGAGAAATAACTTAATTGACTTTGGGACATGTTTTCTTTTTTGCTTCAAATTCTGTGCAGATTTTAAGTACTAACGAAACAGACCCTGTCAAAATATTTTTTTACAAGTCTAACATCCTTTGAGTTTGCTCAGTACACTCAACCCCACTCCATATGCACTGTGCCATGCCTGTAAAATATGTTACTTTACAGTTTCCATTGCTGCAACTTTCCCATGAAGTAGCAATCAAAGTGCCATTTGCCCATGCAGACTTCTGTTTTTAGTCAAAATAATGACCATGCTGATGAGGCAGCAATCATCATTCTGCAAAAACTCCGGTGAGCTTATCAAAGTTTAGGATGACCAATCTATGCTCAGAAAGAAACGAATGCTGGAACATATGCTGTATTCAGCGATGATACAGAATATAGGACATAAAAAATTAGTTAAACAAAAGAGAGCGGGAAAACGGTTTGAAAATGTATTCTGTTTAATATTAAAACAAGCTCCTTGTTTGGGATTTTTAAAAGTCTTTAATTGGGCAATGCAATTTGAAGATCTGACTTTTAAAAGCTTTACTTTAAAAGATCGATTGATTCTTATTTCCGTGTTGCTATAGTTTGCAGAATTTCTGCCTCAATGTGAAAGAGGACTTAATCTGAAGAGCAAAAACAAAGGACCTGTATTCACTCTGAACCGATACACACCATGATGGGTTCATTGTAACACCATTATTTCTTTTAAACTGTATTAACCATATGTGTTTTGACTACCTTGTCATGAGGATTTTATGAATCCTGTTGTCTCCTGTCATCAAATTTCTTTCATTTCTCAGCGCTTTCTTTCTGGAAAGAGGTTGAGCATATTTTTCGAATGCTTCAAAAGATATGAATGAGTTTCCATTGTTTCTAAGCACATTCACAAGTTGAGGGGTATCGTATGTTATTTCGCATTTGCACAATTTTTTGCTAAACTAGGTTTGCTCTACCAGTGTAGTATATTCAATTCAGTCCACATTTCCATCACAGGACAGTTTTTGACAGGTCTGTGACTCCTTTCCCAATCTGTGCAGGCTTTACAAGTTCACTCAGGATGCAAACAAACAACAGAATGAGAAAAAGGAGTACTGTGACACAGTGTGAGAGCTCTTGTTTTCATACATTGTATATTTTCCTTCCACAAGTCACCGGTTCAGAGTACTTTGAAGATTAGCTTTTCACTCTCACCATCATTTCACTTTCACTTTTCCTCTCTTTCTTTCAGAGCGTTTGCTTCTATTCCCCCTGTGGATCCCTTTGACACAGCAGAGGTCACCATCACCTCACCTACATGTTTAAAACTAAACGCACCTGTGTACCGCGGGCACAGCTGTCTGAGAACCAGCCATCTTAGACTTTGCAATGTGACACTAGCCAGGAGGCTGTTACAAAAGAAAACAAAATGCACACTTCTCTCAGTTGTATGCCAAATTTCTCCCATTAGCAGCATTCACATACCTGAGCAAATCTAATAAATTGGGTTTCTTACATAAAATCCCCTTAATCTGAAGTGCTGACTGATGTCATGCTTTACTGTAGGATGTTGTGGAGGTAAGTTCCTGCAACAAATTACATTTTTGATTAATTGCAGACTATTATGTGAACAAGCTGAGGCAGTTTGTTTTTTGACACTCAAAAAATAAAAGTAGCCCACAGTTATTATGGCTACAAGAAAAAGCGCCTGAATGTGAAAGACTCCAGTTTCAGTAAATGATTCCTGTTTGGAGTTTGGGAAGCCTCAGGGAATCTTTGGCTTGGGGAGGCATGAGCGACTAAGAGGAATCATGATCTCAGCTGACCCAGGCTCTTTTAGTGTCCTTTGGGTGGGCTCCTCCACTGAGTTGGATCTGGTGCACCGCAGATCTCTTTTCGGCTCTGATGTTCTGAGAGGCTGAAGTAGTGAAGAATGAAACAGTTTTGGGGACTGCAGCTGGGTTCCAGTGTTAAAGCAGGGAAGGCCTCTAGATGGAGGTGGCAGCTGCTTGGTTTGGTTAGCCAGTGGCCCGAGGGAACACCCTGGCTTCTGAGAGGCAAAACCAGCAGTGTCCCCTGGCTTGGTTGCAGGAAGAGACACGTGCTTGTGAAGGCGAGGAGGTTGCAGCATGCGATGGGAAGTTGAATCACTAGATCTTGGAGTGACAGAGTTCTGGAGCATCATTGCGGGAGCCCTTTTCTTATTCAGTGCTGCAGCATGAGCTGCTAAAGCTGGACCGCCTCTGGCTGTTATCCCCTGTGGAGCGGTAGAAGTCAAGCAGCGCCGGTTGGTGCCGGGTATACGACTTAGCTCATCAGGGCCTGCTATCTTGGACACATGTGCCATGAGAGCTTCAGGAGGATGAACGCCATCCTTATAAGTTGCTTCCTCTGATTTACTCCTTGTGAGATCACTGTGGTCCTCGGTGGGGGGAGTTTTTACAAGTCTTCCCTGGTGGGGTTGCTCGTTGAGACAAGGGTTGAAAGGCTGCAGTATTTGAGGCTATAGAAAAAAAAAAGAAATTTGTATGAATAAACCAAAAAATTAAATGACAGAGAACAGAATGTGAATACAGAAGTGCGTCTGATCCCAATGGAATCCATGTTTTTGAATAATTCACTGCTTTGAATGAAATTCCAAATCAAAAAGCAAACAAAAAGAATCTGTCTTTTTCTACTTGTTTATTTACTCTTTAAATCAACAACCTGTTCCCATTTAGTCCCTAAACTAACAACAATATGGGAGAGGCATTAGCATGGAAGCGACATTAAAGTGTCTGGAATCTGTTGTAGTTTTAGAATTGGTTTGTGATTGCTGCTCCAGCAGAGCTCCCTCAAATCATTTGTCAGAACTTGTTCAGCTGTTGAATCACATGAAATCTGAGCCAACCGCAGTGCTGCTTTCCACCAACGAACATACAGTGTCTGACCAACGACAGCCATATCTTTATCATATTCAACCTTTGTTGGGTTTGGCAGATATTCATTATCTACTGCAGCACCCTTCTAACTCGTTAGAAAGGTCTCAGATTGTTCATGATATATCGATTCATTGTCCCCTTTTTTATGTATCTAACAAAGAGTAAATAGATTCTTGATGTTACTCAGCATGATTGCTCAACAGTTTAAATACATTTTTTACCCGTCAAGAGGAAAAAATAGCAACTCTATACTTCTATAAGAAACTTAAAGGGCCACATTCAAGGATAACACGCATATTACAATGCCAGACAGAGGGTGATTATTACATCTATAAAACAACCAGTGAAAGTCAAGTTCTTATGCAATAAATATATCAAGTACCTTATGCATCACAATATCTAAAATGGTAGGATTTTTTAATATTCATAATGTGTCCTATTTAGACTGACACATAATGTAACCTCCTCTGATATTGTCCATTTTTACCATTAGAAATCAGGGAAAGTGTGTTTGGACATTTTTACTTTGAGTAGGACCTTCAGAATTCATTCCACCTGAAAGCATCTATAGCTGCTAATGAGCCTGAACTCAGTTTTGGCACAAACACACTCAGAGTGGAAAGTGAAAGGATCCCAAAGGATGTGCATATACAGTAGCTGCACCGGTCAGGGTGCTCCATATCTACCTTTGCTTGTAGATACATAAAGTGTGACTAGTTGTCCAGCCCCACAGCCCCATCTCCTGGTCCACAGCCACAGTGCACCCACTCGCCTCTGCTGTATGTAAAGTTTGTAACTCTGACTACAAATGAATGTTTACAACTCACAGTAGCTGTCATTATTTATCAGACAAGTTATGAGCATGTTGTTAAATATCATTCTTATGACTCAACTCACTAACTGCAGCGGATGCCACCAAAATCAGTTCTGACGATCAATTCAGCCTAATCTAAATGGTCCTTAATTATTGTCCTATTTTGTCATTGCCTCTTTTAGACTGATACATTTTCTAGGCAGTTTGTCCTGCTTTATTTTGGAAGATACCTTTAATTTTTAACACAAAATTAAATATCTGCTGACATAACTGAGTTAGAAATGTGGCCCCTTCCATTGTAAGGTTTGTCATGAGAGCACACACAGCAGTTTATATTTACTGCTAGGAGGAGGTAAATCAGTTAGGGTGCTTACACGTTTAAAAGGTTGAAGCCACTCATAATTTGAATCAACACATGTCTGCTAGGGGAACTAATAATTTTCAGCAATCACAGGGAGCTCTTCACTACAGTGGAGTAAATATCTCAGTTCCTAATGATAGCAATCCTATTAACAGAAATTCAGCAAGGCGCCAATTTGTGGCACCTGGTAGAATGCACGGCCCTCCACGATCAATGTCGTCCCCTGCTTCTCTCCCATCGTGACAAATGGTTTGTAATTAGAAAAAACAGAAGAAAAAAAAGAAAAAACATGCGATAATGATACAAACGAAAAAATTTAAACAGTTTCAAGGGTATGAGGAAGATAGTATTATTGCAGCACATGAGCGGTTGACAATTTCTATATTTTGGAGTATAATTTCAAGGAGGAATAAGTCTACATATGTCACATTTGGTAGGTGTGTTTGCTAAAATATAAGTTGCAAAAAGAGTGGGTGTATGATCTGTGACATTTGCCTAATGACTGCTTTCCTTCTTTTGACAGAGGAGTTGAAATGAGGGCATCTCCACTGGAAGGGAGAAAATATGTTTCCACGTTACATAACAAAGTAGGTTCTATATGCTATTTGCTTCGATACTTCTGCAATGGCGAAGCACCTGTTGAATGATTGAATTACAGAAAACAAATCCACACATAGGGATTTTCCAAAGCATGCAAAGTAGCTCCTCTAGCAAGAATATGATCGGATGGAATAAATTACTGTAAAATAAAATAGGCAGAGTATGCAAAACAAAACTCAACTCAATGTATTTCCTGTAAATACAAATCGTTTAAAAATCCATCCTTTTAATACACAACAAAAAATCATGCAAATGTATGGAGAGGGGCATGCTAAGTCATGCCACATGTCACCAGACCTCAGACCGGCGAGCAGGTCTGAGGGGGCAGCATGTCCATTTCATGTTAAATAAAGGGTTACTGTACCACGCTGTATCAGTGAAGTACTGCACTAGGTGCTCCACTCCTTGAAAAAAGAATTACGCATGAGGAGGCAAAGGCAGAGATTCAGTCAGATTTACACTTTGGAAAGACAGAGCGTAAAGATGAAGAGAGCATGACAAAGGCTGTGCTCACAAAGAAAGGTCACAAATTAACTCAACAAACATACCATTTTCATTTAAGAAATCCAATTACTGCAGCCTCATTTCATTCCAATACTATCTCTATTTTCTCTTCTAAAGACCTATAAGACTTTCAGTTTTACTGACAATTATGGTTTTGTTTTTTTCTTTTATTACCTTTCTTTAATGACACATACAGATGTTTTTGTAAAAATAGCCAAAATCATTTGATATTGAAATTACATGCTGCAGTTTTTTCAAACTAGTATCGATACAAAGGATGAGCCCCAGCAACATAAATCAAAGAAAAGCACTATGAATATTCTCCTTTGTTTCCTTCTTTACTTTGTGCTCCACTCTCATGTATGTGCATTTTCTGAAGTCTTTTCCTCATTGTCATTCCCTTCACCTGCCTCGCCTATTCACGACGTCGTCAGCACAGCATAATACGAAAGCTTTGTTGTGAGACTCAATAAGATCGGTGAGGTTGTTGTGACTGAGCTGTCACTGGTTCTGCAGCTCCGTCTTTCTCAATAAAGTCAAACAGTTTGATTTAGCAGATTTTGCTTTTATATCAAAAAGCTCACATAAAGAAAGGGGTGAATTGTTGTTCAAAGCCTGAATATAAATGATCTGATAGACTGCGGCTAGTATGTCATTCTCCGGCTTGGCATTTTGATAATATCCAGATGAGTAAATTAAATCAAATGATTCCTCTATGGTATACAGACAGTGAGAGCTCTCGTAGTGGATGTAGAAAATTAGTTAAAATACTTTAGAGACAATTGGAAATCTAATTGTGAAAAACATCATATTTACCAAAACAATCATCAACAAACATTTTTTAATCAATGATATTAAAAAATATAATTTTGTTGCCTATAAAAAAAAAAGATATATAATGGCACAAAAAAAAAGTACAAATTAAACTCAAAACATATGAATTGCTGATATTTTAGTGTATTAGAAAGCTTGACAACCAGTTCAACTTTTTGTACTACTGTAAGTGCAAACTGAGATGAGCCTGGAAAAATGTTAGTGACTCACTCTGTCTGCGCTGGGGCATGCTGGTACGGGTCAAGCTCTGATGCTGTGCCTGCCAAGGGGACAGCAAAGGGGTGGGCAGCACACCCTACGCATAGAAAAACACAAAGGACAAAAGGCATGACATACCACTGCGCACACACACACACACATGCAAACAGAAAATCATGCCCACAGAAAAAAACACTCAGCCATAAATGCAGTGTTAGAGAATGAAAAGACAAATTAGTACAGGACATTAAAACACACATACTGACATGCAGACCCTGAATCATCTTGGCAAGTATCAAATCCAATAATCCATGCAGTTTACTCCATGTGGAAAATTTCTATAGACTGCCTGTTCATATTTTGGATATGTAAATAGTCTGCAAGATTCCTACCATAGATGAGGATTTATACCCACAAAAACACTGTTCCAGATATACCTATATGAAGTCTTTTTCTAAGCCCTTTTCTTTGACCCTGTTAGAGTTGTACAAATAAAAGAAACAACGGACATAAATTAGTTTGCCATTTCTAATATAGATTTTTTTTAAAGACAAAGATAACAGTTCATGATAAAATATTCAAATTTGAAAAAACAAGAGTAATTGAAAATTGCACTAACTGGATGCAGATGTTGAAACAAGTATGTTACATGTCATCAACACAGGGTTTTTTTTAAATATGAAGCCAAACAAGCCCCTGTTACATAGGCTACAGTTTTTTACTGCCACATTTATAGCATGTGGAAAGGAAAATGTTCCATCACCTTCCCTTTCTACAGCAAGTCTTAATTCTACTCACAAACAACTGCTGCTAAAATAAAAACAAGAACATTTTCAAAAAGTCCCCCTGTATAAATAGTATTAGGCTTGGGATATTGATTTTCATGAAAAGTATTCATTTTAACAAACAGTGATAGAAGATTGTTTGGGCTCTTAACTGTCCCAAAAAAAAAAGAGTAAAATCTTCTCATTTTCATTAATTGTTTTTCTTTAAAAATGAAGATTGGTCTGAAATGCTCATAGAGAGCCAAAAATAATATTTTCTTCAATCTTCCTTAAAGTTTAAGTTGAAACTGTAGTAGAGTATGACTTTTGGTCTAGCTACGCCCCTGGGCCTGGATGATACACACAGTACATATGTAGCACTAACCCTGCTCTGTTGCATAGCAACAACATCGTGTACATTACCAGTGCTCATGGTGAGAAGAGGAAAAATCTCTTCAGCTACTATTTTAAGGAAAGTGCACTGTTTGAAATAACACATCAGTGGAA